GATTCTTCCACCAAAGGCATATGCTTCCCGCATCTACCCTGTCAAGCCTCCTTAGGATCTTTCATTTCACTTTCCATTCATTCATGGGATGTGAGTTTCACTGACTGGCCAGCCTTTATTGCCCATCCCTAGTTGCTGTTGAAGGTGGTAGTGAGCTGCCTATTTAAACAACTACAGTTGGTATAGGTACATCCAAAACATAATTATGAAGGAAGTTCTAGAATCTTAACGCAGTGACAGGGAAGGAACAATGATATAGTTCCAAGTCAGGATGGTGAGTGGCTTGGAGGAGAACTTGTAGGTGTCATATTCCCATGTATCTGCTGCCTTTGTGTTTCTAGATGGTAGTGATCATGGGTTTGGGAGGTGTTGGCTAAGGAGCCTTGGTGAATTTTTGCAGTGCCTTTAATAAGGTGCCATGCAGGAGGCTGCTAAATAAGATAAGGGCCCATGGTGTTAGGGACAAGGTACTTGCATGGATAGAGGATTGGTTACTGGCAGAATGCAGAGAGTTGGGGATAAAGGGGTCTTTTTCAGAATTGCAGCTGGTGACTCATGGAGTTTTGCAAGGTTCAGTATTGGAACTGCAGCTATTCTCATTATACATTAACGATCTGGATGAACAAACTGAGTGCATTATTGCTAAGTTTGCTGATCACACAAAGATAGGGTGGAGGGACAGGTCACGTTAAGGAAGCGGGGAGGCTGAGGAAGAACTTGGACAGGCTAGGAGAGTGGGCAAAGAAGTGACAGATGGAGTACAACGTGGGAAAGTATGAGGTTATGCACTTTGGTAGGAGGAAAAGAGTAGACTATTTTTTAAATGGGGAAAGGCTTCAGTAATCTGAAGCACAAATGGACTTGGGAGTTTAAGTTCAGGATTCTCTTAAAGTTAACATGCAGGTTGGCAGTTGGGAGGGCAAATGCAATGTTAGCATTCATTTCAAGAAGGCTAGAGTACAAGAGCAGGGATGTACTGCTGAGGCTGTATAAGGCTCTGATCAGACCATTTGTGGAGTATTGTGAGCCATTTTGGGCCCCATATCTAAGGAAGGATGTGCTGACATTGGAGGGGGTCCAGAGGAAGTTCACAAGAATGATCCTGGGGATGAAGGGCTTGTCATATGAGGAGTGGTTAAAGACTCTGGGTCTGTACCCCGATGGGCTTTAGACGGATGAGGGGGATATCTGATTGAAACTTACAGAATACTAAGAGATCTGGATAAACTGGACATGTTTCCACCAGTAGAAGAGGCTAGGACCCAACAGAATAGCCTCAATGAAGGGACAACCTTTTAGAACTGAGATGAGGAGGAATTTCTTCAGCCATAAGATGGTGAATCTGTGAAATTCATTGCCGCAGAAGGCTGTGGAAGCCAAGTAATTGAGTGTATTTAAGACAGAAATACATAGGCTCTTGCTTGGTAAGGGGATAAAGGGGTACAGGGAGAAAGCAGGAGAATGGGGTTGAGAAACATATAAGCCATGATTGATTGGTGGAGCAGACTCGATGGGCCAAATAGCCTAATTCTGCCCATATATCTTACGGTCTAGCTTGCGCATGGTACATACTGCTTCTACTGTGCATTGGTGCATGAAGGAAATGAATGTGAGTATTTGGTGCAAGTCACGCAGGATACCCTGCCCTAGATGTTTCAATCAATCAAGTCACTTCTTACTATTCTAAACTTCAGCAGATAGAAACCTAACCTGTCCAACCCCTCCTCATAAAATCGTTCCATTCCAGGGTACTATTCTGGTAAACTGTCTCTTAACTATTTATGACACATTCATATCCTTCTTTAAATAAGGAATCCAGTCTTGCACATAGATGTGGTCTCACCAATGCCCTCTATAACTGAATCATAACCTTCCTACTTTTGTATTCAATTCCCCTCACAATAAACAATAACATTCAATTAGCTTTCCTGATTACTTGCTGCACTTTCATTCTAACCTTTAGTAATTCAAACATGAGGAAAACTAGATCCCCCTGCATCTCAAATCTATGAAATTTCCCACTATTTAGATAATATGCTTTTGTTTCGTTCTTCCTGCCAAGATGTAACATTTCACATTTTCCCACATTATTTACTATTTGCCAGATCTTTTTCCATTCACTTAACCCAAACAATCCCTTTTTAGCTTCCTTAGCTGCTCTTCACAACTTATTGTCCCACCTATCCATGTCTCACCAGCAAATTTAGCAACCATAACATCAATTCCTTTATCCAGGCTATTTATATAAAATGTTCACATGTTTCACAAAGGGGTGTCTCTACTGTTCATGCAAAGGGAAACATGGCAACCAATTGGCACACAACAAGATCACAAAGAACAGCAATAAAATAACTGACTAATTAATGTGGTTGAAGTATAAGTATTGGCCAGGACCCTAGTCCAGCTCTCCTGCTGTATTTCAAAAGTACCATCGAAACTTTTATATTCACCTGGGAAAAAAAGGCCAATTTCTAACATTTCATCCAAATTCCAACAGTGTAGTACTCTCTCAGTACCTCTCAGAAATGGCTTTTGAAATTGTGCCCTCAAGCCCTCAAGCAGCACTTAACCGTTAGCCTTCTGACCCAGACACAATGCGACCAACAGACCTGGAGCTGGCACCTTGAAGAGACAACACAGCCAAATTCCTCATTGGAAAAGCTTAGACATACAAGCTGAGCGTGTCGTGACCACATTCCTCTGTATTAACACCCATCTAGAATAGTGGAATGTGGTCGTGATTCTTTGCTGCCTGGCCTTACCAATGCCACCATGTAACTGGTTATTGAACTAAAAATGATTTACTTTTCCTCTTAATGTGAAACACCTGGGGTCTCTGCTCATTGACTCTCCATGTTATCACAGGCAGCTTCACACATACGCCATCTGGGAAATCTCAGCCACAACCCTAAGCTGTACCACTGCAACATTAGCTGTCCCATGGTATCACCCTCTTTAAAAGTACCCTTTGATTTGGGTGTGAGGATAGAAATCAGATTTGACAGCACTACAAGTTGGGAATGGTGGCAGCATCAGATTATATTGCCTAACTCATGCTGTGCTCAAATTAGGTACATGCAGAGAGTTTGGTTCAGTCTGTCCCTAAGCGCTGACTGTCCTATCAGCTCTTTACTGGCACTTGTGGGAGATTCCTTCTGTGAGCTGTGTGTAATGAAATCGTAAAACCATTGTTTATGGGCACCGAAGAAATTTTCCCCTGCACACTCTGCACCCTCCACAACTCCTACGGATAAAAGACATTAAAAACAATCCGGCAAAAATGAAAGTTTAAAGAGATGGATTTGTGCTGGATGCAATTATGCTGAGATGTGCCTCGCAGATATGCTTTCACTCACTAAATCAGAACCTCACACCAGTTTGGCTGCAGTCATACTCCACATTTTACAGCACAGTGAAGCTGAAATCATGTTACCACGCCAGGAGGCTCCAGCTGCTAGCTAATGAGATCTTAACAGGCACCAAGAAACCTGGAAGAAAATTGGAGATTAAGATTTTCTCACCAAATTAACATCACATAAATATTTACGGCCAGATCTAAATGTGTATTAATAATTAGTGAAAACATTTCAAATTAATGATAGCAAACAGAGTAGAGTTTAAAATAAATGCTTTTAGGAATGGAAAACAAAACCTTTTGCGCAAGTGAGATCATTAGTGAGAGGAGATGGAGGATTCACAGGGGGTTGCAGAAGGCTTTGATTCAGAGCCTGATGTGAGGGTCACTGAGCTCTGGATAAGGGTCAATGAACACAGCTATCATTACTGATTGGTTGTATTCTGATGACACTCTTGAGCACTGCTGAAGAAAGACCAAAAGGAGTTAAAATGATCCAGAGAAATGGAGAGAACAATTCCACCGACAGCTCCCATTTACAGCTGCCTGGTATTCTATTACAGAAAGGAGCAGAGGGAAAAAAAAGACACAGGAGTTAGGGAAAAGAAAGCTCCAGACAAAGCCTTGAATAATATAGCAACAATGAAAGGGACTCTTTCAAAGTCTTGCTTTTATTCCCCACTGGAGAATGCAGCAACACAAAGCAAGTAGTCTGAACCGTTACGATTTTGGAGCGCGAAAGAACCTTTGCCCATTGACGTCCTCTCATCGACAGTTTCATAGATCCTAATCTAGACAGTGCGCAGTTAACCCTCCTTGCCTTGTTGTTTGTGAGGAGTTCAACTCACTCTTGCTTCAGAACTCAGTAAGTTGTGTTGAGCTTACAGCTGACATTGCGCTCCAGTGCCCAATGTATTGTCAACACTGTACTTGTGATGACCTCGCTGTGAATATCAAACTCAGTTCCACAACTGGCATGCCTGTGGTACCAACCCAAAGGAAGAAACAGCCTTTGAAACCACATATAATTATTTCTGTAATTAACCATATCAGTATCAACTTGTCCATTCCACCCTTTAAGATGTCAGTTAGCAGACCCACCTAATTGCCCAGTATAGTATGGAACTTGACAGATGAGAAAACTTCCAAATTTGAGCCTCCATGCAAACTAAATGAGCTTATCGAAGTAATTTTTTTCCAAGGGACAGGGCAGAAGTTTGGGACACAATAGCTGACATTGCTGTGCTCAGATTGCACATTCCAGTGACCCACTGGTAATTGCTTGTGTAAACTGTCTCCCCAGTTAGACTAGCTAGTTGACTACCTGGGCTTGTGCATGAGGCCTGGTTGCTTAAGAGAGATATCAGGAAGATATTGGCAACCCATCCAAATGTACCCCAATGAGGTTAGGAGAAAGTGGAGATAAGATTGAAAGGAATGAAGATGTATCAACTTTTACATTTAGTTTAGAGACAATGCATTGTCTAACACTTTAATCAATTCTAATTAACTAGCAGATCCTAGTGGCTGACTTTACAGATAGCAGCATAGATATAAAATTTATTTTTGAGAGATTTGTTTACTGAGTTGACAATGCATTGTACAGTCAGAATTTACTCTTCATTAATTGTGTTCTTTTTCATAGGAGCGAGAAGCCAGACTTCAGACAGAGATAGACAAGCTGTACAAGGAGCTGAAAGAGCAGAAACAACTCCTTAAACAGAACTCTGATGTAATGCAGCAGCTACAACAACAGCTGCTGAAGGTGACAATTCTTATCTAAGGTCGTCTGGACTCGGAAGGGCGGGGGGAATATATTGAATACTGAAGCAGTCCATGTCCAAATGCAGCAAGACTTGGACAATATCCAAGCTTGGCTGTAAAAGGGCAGGAAATATTTGCATCACAGTAATGGCAAGCAATGACCATCACCCTTTGCCATCCAGTGGCATACCATCAGTGAATTCCCAATTGTCAACATTCTGAGGGTTACCATTGACTAGAAACTGAATCAGAGTAGCCATATGAACACAGAGTCTATAAAAGCAGGTCAGAGGCTGGGAATCCTGCAACAAATAGCTCAGTTCCTACTTTCCCAAAACCTGTCCACCATGTACAAGGCACAAGTTAGGAGTGTGCCAGAATACTCACCACTTGCCTGGTTGGGTGCAACTCCAACAACAGTCAAAATGTTTGACACTGTCTGGAACAAAGCAGCTACTTGACTGCCACCATATCCACAAATATCCATTCCCTCCACCACCAACGGTAAGTAGCAGCAGAGTGTATTATCCACAAGATGTAGTACAGGAATTCAAAGATCCTTAGACAGCACCTTTCAAACTCATGACCACTTCCATTTAGAAGGAGAAGGGCAGTAGATACTTGGGAACAGCAGCCCCTGCAAGTTCCCCTCCAAGCCGCTCACCATCCTGACTTGGAAATGAATCACTGATTCTTCACTGTCGCTGGGTCAAAATCCTGGAATGCCCTCACTAAAGGCATTGTGGGTCTACCTACTGCACATGGACTGCAGCAGTTCAAAAAGAAAGCTTCACCACCACCTTTTCCAGGGCAACTAGGGGTGGACAATAAATGCTGGCTCAGCTAGTGATGCCCACATTCCATATTAATTTAAAAAATTGTCATCTGCTTCCTTAAGAAAGCATTGTGACTTTATTATATTAGACCAATTAGTCAACTTTCCAAAATCCATCCAACACCAACAATAATATCATTGTGATGTAGCATAAACTGAGATTGCTGTTCATGAAGCTTTGTCTACATTAATAGCTGAATGCACTCACACGTCACCACTAGGGACGGCCAGATTATTTGCATTATTTTCTGATGGCTGAAGTTCACAGCGCAGGACCTGCTAGATGAAACAGTGGCCAGCAGGCAGAGGCTGACAACTGTCAGATACTATCAACTTTTGGCCAACATTTGGGGAACAACAAACTTACTTGTTTGGCCAATAAAGGCAACATACTGCAAATGCTAGAAATCTGAAACTAAGACAGAGAATGCTAGAGAAACTCATCAGGTCTGGCAGTATCTGTGGAAAGGGAAGCAGAGTTAATGTTTTGAGTCTGGTTTCAACACCTTTCAGCTCTGAAGAAGTCATACCAGACTCGAAACATTAACTCTCTTTCTCTCTCCACACATAATAGCAGATCTGCTGAGTTTCTCTATGTTTATTCCACTTATTTGGCCATTGGGAAGAGCAAGAAGGAAAGGGCAAACATAATAGAGCCACTTCAGATGCATTTTCCTTTTCAGCTAGCCTTCTCTTCACTTGCTCCAACCATATACAGGCGGTAAGCATCTGGAATTCTGCTCAGGCACTCCAAGAATATGGTGAGACCCCTTCGATAATGTAGCGTCTTGAAGGCATCTAATGATTCTTTGTGAAGAGTGTATTGTGGGCCGGCTGGCCATATTGCAAATACTAAGCACATTGGGTATGAATTAAACCTTAGAATTCCTTAACTAACAGCATCAGTGACTGATGCAAGATGAGAATATCTGCTGCAGTGTGAATATTTGCAGAATGGATTGTGGCTTAGTTTTCATTTTTATGCATCAGTCTTTTCAAAGCGACATCTAATCAGTATGTAATGGCATTACCATTTCAGTAATTATACTATTGGTCTCTATATTTATTTGTGAGGCAGTTTACCAGATTAGATCGCCTTTACTGTTTGAGAGGAGCTTGTACCAGCATCTGCTGTCATGTAATGGCCTGTGTCCTAACTAAAGGCTGTGTTCAGTCTTCCCTTTGATTTTCACATCCCAGGACAAGACAAAAGCGGAGAAGTCCAAAATCATGTAACAAAAAAAGGTTTCCTTTCATGATGCGTTTGTTTTTGTTCTCCATCCACAGCAGGTTATATAAGGACAGCAGACTTTGAAATAGCATTGATTAGAGATGAAGGGAGTTAGGACCGACTGAGATTGGAGCACATCTGCTAACTGCCGGTGATATCATCCTTTGGTGCCTCCCTGGTCAATGGCCCTAAAGCCTTTTTTTCTCTGTGAACGCATAAATAATCTCCTGCTTAACACATCTGCAACTGGTTTGAATGAAAATGTTTTCAGGAACAAAAGTTTCAGGCAAAAGACCCTGAATTGTTGAATAAATGTTGTTTAATCAGCTGGAATCCTCTACCCATTTTACATTTTTCAGCCTTTAAGTGTCATTAAATGGCATTGCAGTCTGGACTTATTATCCAGGTGTGGTATAACTACTTGGAGTTTTGTTCTTGTCCAATGATTGTATGTTATCAAAAGTGTCATTTCTACATGGGAAGCTGAGTTTGTAATATAATTGTTTGGATGGTCAGAAAATGACCAGTATACAAGGTCGGCACTCTTTTCTCTTTTTCTAGAGAAAAGGCTGCGAGGTAACCTGACTGAGGCCCTTAAAATTATCAAGGATTTTTATTTTGGCAAATGTAGAAAAGATGTTTCCACATGTGGGGGCATTCAAAACAATAACAAATCCAAAGGTAATTCAGGTGAAACGTCTATACTCAAAAGTGGTGAGAACATGAAACCCATTATCACATGGAGCAGTTGCAGCAAATAGCATTAGCATAATTAAGGGGAAGGTCGATAAATCCATGAGATAGGAAAGTATAGGAGATATTGATGGGCTGGGGTAAAATAAAGTGAGTGGAAGCTCAAAGAGTCATAGACTCATAAAGCGTGAAACAGACCCTCCGGTCCAACCAGTCCATGTTGAACATGATCCCAAACTAAACTAGTCTCACCTGCCTGCTCCTGGCCCATATCTCTCCAAACCTTTCCTATTCATGTACTTATCCAAATATCTTTTAAATGTTGTAATTGTGCCCAACACGTCTACCACCAATTCCTCTGGAAGTTCATTCCACACATGAACCAACTTCAATGTAAAAAATTTGCCCCTCATGTCTTTTTTTTAAATCTCTGTCCTCTCACTTTAAAAATGTTCTCCCTAATCTTGAAATCCCCCATCCTAGGGAAAAGACACCAACCATTAAAACTATATATATATACCACTCATGATTATATAAACTTCTAGAAGGTCACGTCTCAACCTCCTACGCTCCAGTGACAAAAGTCTGAGCCTATGTAGCCTTTCCTTATAATTTGCAGTGCATAAACCTTAGATCTGATGGGACATATGACCTATGTTGCAAATTCTATGTAATAGCAGCAACAACTTGCCTTTACATAACGCCAATGCCCCAAGGCTCTTCTCACAAGTTCATAACAGGAGCAGGAGGAAGCTGTTTCAGCCCATCAAGCCAGTTTCATCATTTGATAAGATCATGATTGCAGTCTTAACTCCAATTTCCTGCCTGTCCTCATAAACAACTCCTTTGTCCACAAAAATCTGTCTAACCTAACCTTGAGTATATTCAGTGAAAGAGAGACTAATGGGGTTAGCAAGGGAGGGAATGTCTGGGGTGGTATGGTTAGCAAGGCTGGAAGAGAAAGATTGTGGGGGTTAGTGAGAGAGGGAGATAGAGACTGTGGGTGTCAGCAGGGGAGGGAAACAGAGATTGCTGGAGTCAGTGAGAGGGATAGTGACCGTGGGGCTGAGCGAGTGAGAGACTGCAGGGGTCAGTGAGGAGGAGACAGAGAGAGGGAGAGAGAAAGAGACTGTGGGGCTCAGCAAGGGAGAGTGAAACTTATATGGGTCAGTGAGGGAGAGAGATTGCAACTGCACATATAGTTTGGTGTTCACTCCCCATGCTGTTTGATTTTAGCACAATGTGAATGCAATAAAGACAGGATTGAAACCAGCAGGTATAGGGGGTTGGCTCCCAAACCATTGTAAGTGACGACATCTGGTTAACTTAGGGGGAATATGTTTGTGTACTGGCGGCATATTAGAAAGAAATGATATAGGAATTTGGTCAGCTTGAAGGGTTGCCATTAAATATATCTGAACTTTGGGGTATACCGTTTCAAATAATATGGTTATAATATAAATTCTATAATTGATTGTTATAATTGTCTTCAGAAGTGGCAGTTTATTTCTTCAAATGTTGAAAAAATACACTAGAAACAAAACAAATCCATTTTTTAAAACAATTCCTCCACACTGCGAGAAGATTCCCCTTGCTCCCTCTCAAAGCTGGTTGCTTTGCTCTCTTACAGGGTCTGTTTCTTGTTTTATTTAAAACACATCCCTGAGAATGGATGGGGTGTGTTTATAACATATCAGACACTAACAGGGAATCAAAAGCTACGCAGAAATTTGCCCTCAAATAATCTGTACCTGATTTTTCTGTTAAGACACCATTCTGTTATATCGTAGAGTTCAGGATTGTGTAACTTTTTGTGGCTCTCTCGCACCCAATCCCCAACTTTTAGCATACAAAATGCCGGCATCATGCAGTTATTTTATTTGTGTTAGACACTAATGAACCTCCCATTATTAATCTCTGTCTCTCTCTCTCGAAGGTGCAGTCTCAGCAATTCCAGGGCAGTGCCCAAACAGACTATGAGCAAGGAAACAAAGCCACTACAAAACCAGAAAGTAGAATCTGCGCGGTGATGTAAAGGGAGGTTTGGAACAGGAGTGTATTCGAGGCAGACCGTGTTGGCTGGGGACAGTTCTCAAACAGGGACTGCACCGTGTGGATTTGGGTTGTGTGCCATGTGAGCGGCTGGGATCTGAAACACACACAGAACACACAAAAAAAACTTCTGACCTGTTGCCATGGTGATCGTGCTTTCAAGGGACTCTCTCCACAAATGGCTAAGATGAAAAGGACCTATTTGACTTCTAGCCCCATTCTCCCTCCCACCCTTCCCCCTGGCCCCCCTCCTTATCTCTTTGAAGTGGCCGTGAAGCCCACCCGGGAGAGACTGGGCGCCAGCTGCTGTTGTGGATGGAGCATTCCCTGTGTTAAAGCACCTGAACCAACTCAGTCAAGGGTTGAAGTTCAAATGAAACTCAAGTAGCTCTAGGTCAAAATGCCTTGAGGTATTCAGGGCGGTGCTGTGATTTCCTGATTTGAGTCGCTGTTCCCTTGAGATTGACAGAAAGTATAACAGTGGGGGTTACCCTGCTCACTTTTCTCACTCAGCTCCACATCCCATACTTATTTAACAGAGTTAATGTTGGTTGTGTTGGCAAGATTGCTTTCATGAAATTAATAAAATTTAATGTAAAATTCACAACTAAATCTAAGATAGAGCACAGGGCCAGGACCCAGCAAATTTACAATAGATTCTTTACAGTTGATGGAGACTGATAATTATGTGATGTGTAATTGTATCCAGTAACAGATGGAGACAAATAACTATGGTATGTGTATAATGTTATGGTATGTGTATAATGCTGTGCTATAACTGATCGAGTGTAATAATTGAGATGTATATAGTGTGCCATAAACCGACAATGTTGACAAAAGTATATTAAAGGATATAAAATCAAGTACATGTCTAATGTTCCGAACTTCGAACTAGGTGGTTAAGTAAGTATCACCTACTCCAGAGGTGTGTAATAACATTTCTGTAACATGTTGATGTGAAAATATACTAAGCTGACAGGATCAAAATTTACTCCTTCTGGCCCCGGTATTGATCTCTTGCCAAAATTTAAACTCATTGCAATGTTGCAAAATCAGACCGTGATTGGAATTGGACAGTGATTTGAAAGGTTTTCCAAATGTCTTTTCTTATTTTTGTCGTTTATCATCAGCAAAGATTATAGGGGAGTTGATGGCCCAGTGGTGTTATTGCTAGAGTATTAATCCAGAGACCCAGGTAATGTTCTGAGGACCCAGGTTTGATTCCTAGTGCAGCAGATAGTGGAATTTGAATTCAATAAAAATCTGAAATTAAGAATCTAATGGTGACCAGGCACCTATTGTCAATTGTTAGTCAGGGAGGAGCCCATCTGGTTCACTAATGCCCATTAGGGATGGAAATCTGCCATCCTTACCTGGTCTGGCCTACATATGATTCCAGACCCACAGCAATTTGGTTGACTCTCAACTGCCCTCTGGGCAATTAGGGATGGGCAATAAATGCTGGCCCATCCAGTAATGCCCTCATCTGCGAATGAATTTTTAAAAAATTCCCTTAAAACTGTCAGCAGTTTTTGTTTACTGAGGGCACAGTGATGTTGGTCTGTCACCCTGAAAGTCTTTTGATTCCATTGTGATCTCCGTGAGTGCTTCAATCTTTCTGCAGCGAAATTGGACAGTGACTGAAAATACACACACCTCGGAATTGAGGCACACTCGGTAATTATTTAGCAGTGCTTGGGAGGGACATAAAGCAGCACCTATTTCTATCTCTCGATACAAGCGAGTAATGGTCAGCCTCACTGGCTAGAAGTAAATACGTGTAAATATTGGGTGAAGATTTCAGAACATGAGGAAAGCAGAGATGAGAAAGATCTATTTGGGTCTTTGAAGCTCAGACTTTTATGACCATGATTTTCCCCTTTTAAACTGAGGCTGTGTTTTGAAAATCACTATGATTTTAACTCTTTACACCCTGCCTGGCAGATTATTGCAAATCTCCCCAAAACCTGTTTGAAATGTACTTTCCATTATTTAATGTCCTCTGCTCCTAGTTTCTTTGACGTTCTGTTAATCAGTAATTGTGGACTTAGTTTTATCTGCACAGTTTAATATTGTACAAGGTCAGCATGAGCCGAAGGGCCTGGCTCCATGCCATAGGATTCGTGGTGAAATCTCTTTTTAACCACCTTCCTTCTTTCCTGGAGAGCTTTTGCTTATCTAATCTTTTGAAATAGCTTATCAATTGGATTTGTTGATTGGCTCTTGTATATCCTTTGCAATGAATGGATAAATAGAGTATGCCCACTAAATTTGAAGCCATATAGTGCAACCTTCATGCAATTGTATCAACTGTCCTGTTCTCCATTAGCTCCTGATCCAAACAGGCCTCCTTTTAAAACTCTAATCCTGATTTCAAAATTTGTCAATTCTGACCATTTGAGCATTGCTGATTTTAACCATTCCCCATTGGTAGCTGTGCCTTCATCAACACGGGCCCTAAACTCGATTTTTTTTCTGAAACAGTGCCATGGCTTAGTTGGTTAAAGTGTCTGCCTGGTAAACAGGAAATCCAGGGTTCAAATCCCAGCCGTGCCTGTACCTTACTTGAAAGGGCAGCAGCACCAGGGACCTGGGTTTGATTCTAGCCTTGACTGACCATCTGTGGGGAGTTTATATATTCTCCTTGTGTCTGTGTGGGCTGCTTCCAGGTGCTGTCATTTCCTCCCACAGTCCAAAGATGTGCAAATTAGGTGGATTAGCCATGCTGAATTGCCCATAGTGTCTAGGGATGTGCAGGCTAGATGGATTAGCCATGGGAAATGGAGGGTTCCAGCAAATAGGATGGGGGGGTGGGATGCTCTTCGGAGGGCCAGTATGGAATTGTTGGGCTGAAATGGGCTGCTTCCACACTAAGGATTCTATGAAACATCTTCAAGTCTACTTTTTCTTGGCCAGATCTCGGTCACTTACACCTATGTGCATTGGTGTTTGATAACAGTGTGTGAAGCACTATGGATATTTCACGTTATTGAAGGCGCTGTATAACTGCAATTGTTAGATAAGGATGGGTGGATTTCACAAGGGGGGAAAGTTGGTTCATGGATTATCCCCGAATGAAATATCTGTTGCCATCGCACCAACCAGAAACCAAGTGCCTCACAGCATTAATACACGGAGGTAAAATTAACTGCATCTGGTGGGACTTCCAACCCTTCTCCACCTCAATGGCAGGAAGTCCTGCCCCCAGACAGCTTCTGGCCAATTTGATGGCTACCTTTGTAGCCAAACCAGTGCCAGGAAAGAGTAGTGGCCAATGCTTGGACTGCAACCATCCCCAGGGAGGTGCAAGGAGGTCTCCTGGACTTGAATAAATTTGTGGCTGGGTATGACTAAGAGACACCATCAAGGTAGGGAGGATGGGTCTTCTGGTCACAGATACCAGGGGAGGTTGGGAAATAAAGTGGCAGGTACATCTTGGAACAGGAATGCTCCCAGTGTGCACAGGGACGATGACCTCCCTCACAATAGGTGCCTCTTCCCTACTTCCTGTCTGTGCAGTGAAAGCAGCTGGGCTATTTATCTACCCTCGGAGACTGACAAATTGCAGCAGAGATGGATTAGGGCCCCTCAGTCCCAGTCAAATATTCATAGAGTCATAGAGCACTGAAACAGATCCTTCGGTTCAACCAGTCCATGCCGAACATAATCTGAAACTAAACTAGCCCCACCTGCCTACTCCTGGCCCATATCCCTCCAAATCTTTCCTATTCATGTACTTATCCAACTGTCTTTTAAATGTTGTAATTGTACCCATGTCCACCACTTCCTCAGTAAGTTCATTTCACACGCAAACAACCATCTGTGTAAAAGATTTGCCACTTGTCTTTTTTCAAAATCTTTCTCCTCTCACCTTAAAAACATTCCCACAAGTCTTGAAATCCCCCCCATCTTGGGAAAAGACAACACTTAAGGAGCTCAATAGATCCGAGGGCAGACAGCTGCCCGATACCTGACCTGCCCACAATAACATGGTGGCCAGAGAGAAGATGGATAGAAGGTGCTGGACTAACCACCCTCTTTACTTAAAGTGCTGTGCTCACCTTCGAACAAGATGTCAGGGGGTCTAAAGTTCAATCCCAAGAGGTGTATGGCGGGGCCTAGATGCCTGCATTGACCAGAGATTGTTTGTACTCCTTCTCAGATAGACAATCTCACACACACATAGAACACAGAGTGAGGATCTGTGTACAGAACAACTTGTAAAGCGCTTGCTTGGGCAGTCTCTACTCCCAGCTCCGAAACGGCAGGCAAACCCCAGGAGGACAGAGGAAACGCTTCAGTGACACCCTCAAGGGCTCACTGGCAAAGTGCGGCATTCCCGCTGACACCTGGGAATCACTGGCCCAAGACCGTCCAAAGCGGAGGAGCAGCATCCGGGAAGGTGTCGAGCACCCAGAGACTTGCCGTTGGGATAAAGCGGAAGCCAGGCGAAGGAGCGCGCTGCCACACCAACGTGCCACCCACCCTTTCCACCCCAAGTGTGATAGAGTCTGCCGAAACCATCTCGCACAATACAGCCACCTACGGACTCACCCTGAGAGTGGAAGAGAGTCATCCTCATCTGCAAGGGACTGTCGATGATGCTGACAGAACAACTGTTCAACAATCATAGATAGGTCAATACTGACATTATATAAGCTGGGATTAACTGTAAGGTTTGTGAAATGGTTTAAATTTTGAATGCTTTGTGAAGCTGTTACTTTGCTGAGAGCACACCTTGCTTGCAGACATTAGACATATTCAAGACTGAGAGACAGATTTTTAATCAGTAAGGGACTCAAAGATTATGGGGAAAACACAGCAAAGTGCAGTTGAGGGTTAAAAGATCAGCCACGATCTCACTGAATGGCAGAGCAGACCTGATGGGCTGAATGGCCCACTTCTGCTCCTGTGACAGAGATAGTAGGAACTGCAGATGCTGGAGAATCTGAGATAACAAGGTGTAGA